CCAGGTTGAATTGAGGTGAATATTTGTAATGTTCAGGTTGTTGTGTTTAATATTCATGAGAATATTTGTCATTGTTCAAATGATAATAAACAAACATATAAAGCATATTTGTCCACTCATATGTTGATAAGAGTATTAAAAACTTGAAAAATATCCCTCTAAGGTACATTTAGAACAGATAAAAAATGTGCGATTAACTATGGACAATCATGCGATTAAATATTTTAATCGACTGACAGCCCATATATATGTATGTGTGTATGTATGTATATGTATGTGTGTATATATGTATGTGTATGTATATATACATATACTCTCATTCATTAAAGTCCATGTTTATCCAGCCACTCCTCTATATTTGTATCCTTTACTGTACTTTTGTGTCCTCCCTGATTCCAGTCCCGCTACTGGAGCTCAGACAACAGTAAGAACGAGGTGCAGGGCGTGGTTCTGGACCGGGCCGGAGAGGTGGTGCATCGATTCGGAGGCCAGTGGCACGAAGGCATTTTCTGTGACACCCTGTCCACACCAAAGTGCATCTGGAAGCCTAGTGAGTAGCAACCCTTCAACTGGGAATACACAGACTCAATATAAAATGTCATAGTGCAGAAGAAACAGAAAAGATGAACCTGTATAGGTACATTGGAATAGAAAATACATGGGTTGTGTAACGGGCGTCTTTCTCCTCTTCTTTACTCTGTATAAACGCTGTGTTTGGGTCGAATCGGAACAATTGACTACTTTTAATGAAATTGCTGATCACCACTTTCATTGAATTTTGAGTGGTGTAGTGAACACAACACATTGGATGTTCCCGGTCCAAAATGACCGCCATAGGAAATGATCGGGTAATCCTAGATTATATTCTTCCATCAGATGGTACACACCTACAGATCGACAACATTTTAATTTGGAATACATTTTCAGTTTCTATTCTTTGTACATTATAATAATAATATATAAGTCTGTAGAATTAGATTTGTCAACATTGTATTTGTATAACCTTTTAATATGCATGATGTGATTTCCTGTTTAGCCGTGCAGCCCGATGACTACGCCCAGTTCTACGGCTTCTCCCGTTACGCCAGAGAGCTGAACGAGCTGACCCCCGAGCTGAAGGCCGCCCTCCCCCCCACAGACACTCGCTTCAGACCAGACCAGAGGTACACGCTACATTCTAATTTATTCAGACTGAAACATTTGTACTTTTCACAGTCATTGTTAAGCGGTTGTTTAAACTCTCCCTCAGGCTGCTGGAGGAGGGAAAGGTAGCAGAAGCAGATAAAAAGAAGGATGAGGTGGAGGAGAAGCAGAGGGAGAGGAGGAAGGAGATGACCAAGACGGGGGAGGAGCACGTCTCCAGGTTCTTCAGGTGAGGAGATCCACTCTTTCTACAACCAAGTACGTCTCGCAGGAGACTTTCAGTCCCTTGTCAAAATATGACATATTTTCTGAGTTTAAATTGTAAGTTTCAAAACTGCTAAAACTGTGTACTATGATGGTGTGTTATAATCAGGGTGCGTACGGGTGCTGGAAATCCTTGAAAATGCTTGAAATTGTACGAGGTGTTTTCAAGGTTTGAAAAGTGCTTGAATTTTGGGAATGGTGCTTGAATTTGGGATAAAGTGCTTGAAATTGTAAATGCTTTACTTCGCTTTTTAGATTAAAAGAAAATAAAGAAGTCTGAGCGCGCTTAATTGCTTCGCTTTTACATAAAACAACTCCGCTCCGGCCTTCCCCGCGCTATGCGCGTGACCGCCAAGTGTTTTTGTTACGTGTGTGACCTGGGCATTCTGATGAGAGTGATAGATGACAGTATGCCAGGAGGTTGCCGTTTCAACGAGCGTTGGCTAGCAGAAGACAAATACAAGCCATGGCTAAGACGAGGGTCAAGCGAAGCCCAAGAGTAGCCTCCTGCAAAGTGTGCAAAAATAACGATGCAAGAGTCACACACCACACGAAAGGTACGCCGTAGATTTTTAGATTAGGCTATCGTTGCATGTAAAATACATGACACTTTTCTCTGTGCGCGGCAAAACAAGCTCGCCAAAATGGCTTCACTAGTCTGGCAGTATTTTAAGTGTCCGAAAATGACAATAAAATAGCGGTATGCAACGTGTGTGTGAAGCAGAAATCCTGCAGCTCCACCCGCTGTGACGGACCGGTGAGCGGAGCAGAACACGCATTAAGAGTTAGACCCAACACAGTTAGCTATTTGATCTACCTCTGGAACAAGCTAAACTAGTTATAAATATATTTATTCTTCACTGTTGGGTAGGGTTGGGAACCGAAACTCGGTTCCAGATGAGAACCGATAAGAAAATGCCGTGTACCGGGTACCCATACAAAAAATACACTTTCGGTTCTGCTTAACGGTTCCTAAACGCGGTAGACCCTGTATTCCACCGGGTCCGTCTGCACCGCGGGTCCGTCTGCGCCGCGGTGACCCGGTGGAATACAGGGTAAGGGCGGACTGGCCATCTGTGTGTTCTGGAGAATCGCAGAACGGCCGGTCGTCAGCGGGCCGTTGACGGCCGGCTCGGTACGCTGACGGCCGGCACCGCCCTTCATTTTTTTAAACGGCATCATGTAAGTTGCGCTGACAGGCGACAGAGGTCTACAGTTGCCTCGCAGCGAGGCTCCCCCCGCCCTCCCGTAGACAGTTCACGAGCTCAGTCACTTCATAACACCAAAGATGGGTCGCGGTAAACGCTCTAAAGTGAGGCTCCACTACACTAATAAAGAAAAAGACAAGGCACAGTGTAATGCCTGTTAATAGCTTGCCACAGGCATAGCTCAGTTAAAATAAAGCACAGCTATTGTGCAATACATTTGTATTGCATGTATATTTTTTATTTGTAAAAATGTCAGTTAAAGCTTAAAAGAATAAAGATATTTTTGTTATCTAAACGTTTGACCTCTTTCTTTTACAATTTTGGAATCGAAACGGGGAATCGATAAGCGGAATCGATACATTTAAAACGATACCCATCCCTACTGTCGGGTCACTCAGTCATTACTGGATCAGTGAGCTGCATGAGATACTGACAGGCTGTCAGGAGAGAGGGAGAGAGAGAGAGAGAGAGAGCGCTTCCGCTCATTTCTCCCGTGTTATCCAAAGTTAATGTAAACTTGAATAATGTACTTCATTTGAATGTAATAATTATGTTGGTTGTTGTTTGTGGAAGCGCCAGTGAATGAGCCCCATTAACTGAGTTTTAAACATCACTTTAAATGGAAGATCCCCATAGGCCCCGCCCACTTGATCGGATCGGCGATCGGATCGGCGATCGGTATCGGCCGATACTGATTCCGGCGATCGGATCGGCGATCGGTATCGGCCGATACCGATCGGCCCCAAATTGGCGATCGGAGCATCCCTAATAATTGTATATGATATGTTTTATAATGATTGATCATGAAAGTGTTCTCAAAGCTGGTAAAGGTGCAGCTAGTTTGAATGACTTTGTATACTGCAGGGTAGCTTGTGGATTTACTCCAGGTGGAACTAAAGTCTGATTTAACACTTGATTATATTTCACAGCATTCATCCACATCTGTAGAGTAACTAAAGGTATTAAATACATTTAGTGGAGTAGAAGTACACCATTTACCTCTGACTTGTGTTTACTGCCAACCTAAAAGTACCTCAAAAATAGTAATCAATAATATATTGAAAAGTTATTTGGCTGATTGTTTTATATTGGCTCAGCCAGGTTATGGGATGCCCAGTCTACGTACAGATGGGTCACTCATTTTGAAATATTAAACTTAGTTTTCTCTTTAATTTTTCATCCTCATGTAGAATGCTATTATGAAACACACATTTGGTTGTTTATAGCATAAAGAACATCTGATTTAATGTGAGGTAGGGAAATAATCATTTGAGTATAAGTATGTGTATATAAATATGTAATTTACAACAGCTGTAAGATGCTTGAAAATGCACCTTGAAAATGCTTGAAAAGTGCTTGAATTTGACTTTGGAAAAGGTGTAAGAACCCTGTATAATAAAGTGTAGAAATTGTAAGAATTAGACTGCTGGTTGCCTGGCAACCTCAGGGTGGTGACATGATTTTCAGGAAGTTACTGACCAAAAAGTAGTCAAACATAACTTCTAAAGCCGCTTTTATTTATTCTCCTCAGTTTCTGTGCAGAATTAACAAATGAGAATGAATGTGTGGTTGACTTTAAGAGGCGCTGCTCGGTGCAGACTGTTAGCATTGGCCAGGCTAACTGTCTCACTAAAATATTTAGTACTGCTACTTTTACTTAAGAAAAGTACTTTGTCCCCCACTGGCTAACCAGCTGCTAGTTGTGTGTATTTAGCATTCAGACGGAAAGCATATTAACGGAAAGCATTTTTTCTTGTTTCTTGTTTCATCTTTCAGGAAAACTGTGGACGAGGCAGGCAGAGAGGTGTGGCGCAGCAACGACACCTACTGGAAGCTGCGGCAAGAGCCTGGCTTCGCCTACACCGACAACCTGGACCTGTGGTCCTGAACACTGAGGGCATGAAGAGCAGTGAAACGCCCCGTGAATGGTAAAAAAATGATGAATGTATCCATGTTAGTATACATGAATATGAACCTCTTAGAGAAGATGTAAAGATCCAGAGGCCTGCTGCTACCATGAGACGTAGAGAATTCATGATCAAAAAGCAAATCTTAACTTTATATCTGTTTTTTAAGCTTTTTACCGAGGCCTTTCGAAAAGAGGATTGAAGCCTCTGTGTGTATGTAAAGTGTTTTGTATCATATTGTTGGGACCAATATCGGATATTATTTTGTTAGTTTAAAAATGTCTATTTTAAGTAAGGCTCATTCTGATAGTTGTGATGGGTAATGAATACTTGCAGAAGCTTGCTTCCTGCGGGGGGGCCGAGGACTCAGGGCCCAGGACCCGGGCCATCAGGTCCTGGTGGGGTGTGTTACAGGTGAACTGGTGCTGTCCTGCTCCCTTGTCTGTGGGTCTTATTATTTAAACGTGTGTCCATTTGTAAAATCTGGGTTTTTTTAAATGTTCTGATGTGAACACATTGGTGATGCGTCGTCCTCCTGCTGATTGGGTCTGTCCGTCCTGGCAGCCTGTCCTCTCGTCTGTATGATTTGTTAATATCCTAAATGAGCTGACGGGCGAGGGTTTTACCTTCTGTGCCTGGCGCTCTGTTGAGGCAGTGAAGTGTTTTTATTGATGTTTCAACAATGGATTTTAATAAGGAAAAGAGACTACTGTTAAACCCAGTGAACGTGTTTTCTTAATGCTTTTGTTTCAAATAAAAGGTACCAAAATCAACTGTTTCCTTCATTTTTAACTTCAGTTTTTGAGTCTAATATAAGATTTCTAAACAAGTCCTGTTGAATATGTGATGTGACCAAAGAATCATTACATTACATGTCACTTGTTAGACACTTTTATCCAAAGCGACTTACATATACTGTGGGCAATCCCCACAGGAGCAATTTGGGGTGAAGTGTCTCAGGGACACAACGACATGCTGACTGCAGCGGGGTTTGAACCTGTGCTCCCCTGATCTGAACACCAACGCACTATTCCACTGCGCCACAGCCTCTCTATGATGATATGATTAAACTGTTTCCTTAATTAGTTTGCTGAGAAGCACAATGTATGCCTACACCAAAGAAAATAATCAAAGTTTCACTTTACACGATCAGGGAAAGATTCCTTTACGCTGAACACCTTTCTAATATTTGAACTCATCCTTTTATTTTCACTGATAAACGGCAATATATCCATGTAGAAAATCAATTCAACATATCAAAGGGGCACTATCCCCCTCCTGTAGTGGTTTTTATGGTTAAGTGCATGTCAATGGTCTGCAAAGCCTGAAATCCCTGTGTTCCCTCCAGAGGGAGTTTCTCTCCCACCCCATGAACCTGAACATGAGCATATGTCCTCCGAGTTAAACTGGAGTCAATCTTACATTCTATGTGAACTAATCCCCGCCAAATATGTCTGTGATTCCCTCACAAGGCTGGCTCTCGGTGTGTGTGACACACTGCTGGACCACATTAGTCATTCACCTGACACAAGTTAGTTTTGATTTAATATTTATTTATTATTTCTTCCAGTTCAGTTACAGCACAAAACCCCACCCACAGTTCTGCCTTACGTTTTATTGTCTGAACAGCTTTCGTTCTTCTCTCTTGCTAATGTAACAGTTAGCGTCTCTCGCGAGCTGCATTCAATCCAAGCTAAAGAAAGTGTTATACCCCCCCCCGCTCCATTGAGATATGGGGCAGCATGTCAGCTCTTCTACTGGTCCTTAGAATCAAAATGTATAGTCATCAGTTATTTGAAAAGAAGCTAACTACTAACCAGGAGCTATATGCACTACGCTTGTTTAGTTTATATTCTTGGACTAAAATGTGTCAAATAAGAAAACAGTGGGTGTTTCTCAATCGCGAGTAAAGCTGCTTCAGAGCCACTATTTCAAGCATACTACGTCATCGAGTGCCGCCGAAGTACTGTTCCAATCTCCAGCATACTTGGAAATCTACCGAGCCCGGCGTACTCCGTTTGGAGAAATATCGAGGCTGCACATGAGTAGACTCTGCGGTCTTAAAATCCCCACAATGCTTTGCGCACGGACCAATTTCCCCAAATCTGTGGCGGAAGATGTAAGGCGGGGCCTCTCATATGACGCACACTTGCTAGCCTGTTCCACTCTTTGTTTTCCGAATGCCAGGAAGTATTCTTGACTCGCTTCTGAAGCAAGATGCTCGGCAGACATGTGCTACCAAGCAAGCGTACTCGCGATTGAGAAACACCCAGTGAGGACACAGCTCTGCATTCACTCCCCCTGCCTCCTCACCTGCTTTCTAATGAATACAAACTTTAAAAAACTGCTCAAACGTGCCGTCAAAACAGTTATGTTCTAAAACTGATTCTAAATGGCAGAGGAGCTTGGCATTGTTCAAGAGAGGCAGCTATTCAAAAGTTACAAAGTTACTCTTTAAAGTGGACCTATCATGCTATATTTGAATAATATATTGTAGGGCCATACCTATATACTGTAAGGTATATTCATACGTTTTCTTTTTCAAAATACCAAACAGATCATGCATTTTAGCCATGCCTCATTTTGCTCTATTTTCCTCTCCTCCACCCTGTCTTTGCATGCGCTGCAGCTGACCACGCCCCCCTGCAAAGGAGGGGGCCGAGTTACGAGCGTCGTGTTACCATGCTGTTACCATGCCACGGCAACCTCTCATTCCCCTGATAGGTCAGCTCCTCCGTCCTGACGTCAGAGAAATGTTCAAATCTGGATCAGTTTTTATCAGATCCGTTGCAGCCCCGTTTTTAGAGATTTGGGTATGGAGGAAAAGAGAGGGTTGTGTTTTCTGACACTTGGTGAGTTCCCTGGAACACCGGGGACACATATTGATGTATAAAAGACGTACAAAAGTGCATTTTGCATGATAGGTCCCCTTTAAAATGACCAGAAACTAAAATAAATATTCTTCATTTTCCAAGAGGTTTTTCGGAGAGGTGCAAAAGATTAAAACATTTGGAGAAACGCATCAATACAAAAATATTCTGATGTTTTCAAATGTAGCCCTGACATAGTATTTATACTGTATGCACAACATAGAATATCCTCTATGTTGTCAAATGAGATATTGTACTCGTTGCTATGTACACCTGTGCACCTTCTCTTCAGTGCCATGTGTTTTTGGGAAGACGTATACTAGTAGAGTTGTTCCACTGTTGATCAGAAACCTTAAAGGAATAATCTGCTAGTACGCATTTTCATGAATATACTGAATCAGGTGAGCAGCCTCTAGCTGTTTCTTACCAGGATCAGCACACAGAAGCATTCAGACAAGAACAAATCATCTGATTGAAACTAAAAAGGGTTGTTTAGTGTGGTGTTATCGGCACAGGCATGATACAATGACAACCTAAAATGAATTAAATGGCACATTTTTTGAGGTATAGTTTTCTGATCGCTGTCTAAGAGATGTCTGCTTCAAACCATATACAGAACAAGAGGAGAAGATTGAAAAATAAATTGTGAATAATCCACAGAACACCCTGTCGACTGTTTTTATAGAGCTTGCTGTTAGCATTTTGATGTTAGCACTTAGCTCAAGGCATTACACTGAATACAGCCTCACTGTTAATAGCTGTATTGTGGTTGAAATGTTGCCGTTGATGTTCCATTAATTGCCATTTTATTGAACTGAAAGCATAATCTAAAATACTCATATCTCAAAACAATAGAAAATAATCTTGATAGTTTCTTCTGGAGTTATAATCTATATTACATAGTCTTCCTCAGTAGATCGAGTTAGAGGAATCCCCCCGTAGAGTGGTGCAGAAATCAGTTCTAAACCCAGAAATACATTTAAGCAAATCCGGTTCCCTCGTCTTGAAGTCAATGTTTTTTTTAATCATTTTTTGGTTAGATGTCTGAAATAAAGTCTGTGGTTAACACAAGCGGAAGAAATGTTCAGGTTTTGTTTGACAACATGAAATATGTCAGTATATACCCCACTGGTGAATGTCTGAAGCTTCTACGTGTCTTAAGAACACTAAATATGACCACTAAACGTCATCACGCTGAACATTAGCCACTCTTAGCTTAGCTTGGGGATGCAGAGCCATACAACCGTGATGTAGTTTAAAGGGGACCTATCATGCAAAATGCACTTTTTGATTGTCTTTTATGTGTCAGGAAACTCACGCAGCGTCAGAAAATAAAACCCTCTCTCTTTCCTTCCTCCCGTACCAAAATCTCTAAAACGGAGGTACAACGGAGCTGATCCAGATTTGCGTCTGATATGACGTAATATCGGCAATGCAGACCCACAGCACTATCAGAAAGTTGCTATCAGAAACAATGCCTGACTGTTTTGGACGTAATATGGTCGGTGTTTACATTAGCATCGCTAACTCTCAGAGCTAACCTGTACTGGAGAGAGCATGTGTGTGAAGAAGCAGGAAATAAAAAGGAACTCACCTTGTGGTATAACCGGCAAGAGAGAAAGCCTTTGAGCTCCATACTGTTTCAGAAACAATCCTTGATAATCCATGATATGGCGTTTCATTACGGCAGTATCTGCCGGTAGAATCTCCCGCATGAGCAGGCATAAGCTCCGCCCCTCTTTTTAAAAATATTTTTTTATACAAAGCTTTATACATAAGATGAGCATGAAATATTGTGTAAGTATCACAAATGTGGGTTTGCCACAGAGCATATTTACTGCAGTATTTAAAAATCCAATGGAAAAATGTTATAGCTTTTCGTGGAGGGAGCTGTTGAGATGCTAACTTTCGGGTTGATCTGCAAACACATGTCATCACTGCACCACTCTATTGTTTCACACAATAATAAGTAGCATGCATAGTTTTGAGATATTATGCCAGGATTATGAAATACTTCACTTATAAATCAGAGTAATCTTTTAGATAAGATAACATATCATTTTCTTTGTAGGCCATCGTTTCCCCATAATTTGGAGATACTAGTGACAACTATAATATACTATATTACAATTATCAGAAATATGACATAATCAGGGATACTAAAAGAAACCCATAATTACTGAATAAGTAACAAATACCAGGTCAGGATTTCCATTATCATTAAATACTGTCATGATAATTTGATTAAAATGAAAATGATTTGACATTTACAAAGGAAAAAGAAAAACTCAAATCTCTTTTTCAAAATAAAAGTTGTGGTTTAACCAAGGCACATTCATTACCACACAAAAGATGGCAGTAGTTGCCGACTGCAGTTCCTTTATTAAAAATGTACCTTCACACTTTGAGTTTACATAACGTTCTCTTTGGAACTCCACTTTCTTTCACTCTCACCATTGTTCTGACTTGCTGTTTCCTTTAATCTAACCTTGAAGTGTTCCTGTTATCACAGCCAAACAAGTTGGTAACTCACAAACCTCTGAATCATTTTACAACACAGCAGTTTATTGCAGGTCTTGTGACAATGGAAACCTTCACAAACAACATGACAGCAGAGACATCCTGGGGCTGGCCGTCTGACTTATCTCAGGTCTGCTCATCCTCCCCCCCCCCTCATGTGTGTGTCAGTGCAACTGAGTGCAGCTTTTCTACCTCTGTTTCTGTAGCACTCAGGCCTATGTTTGATAATGATAGAAAAAAACCACCTTTCTGTACCAAGCCCCCAGGCAGTGAGCCGGGCGTTGAAGCAGATTTTTATAATCAATAATTATTTTTGAGCTAAATCAAATATCCAGAACGAACCCTTGAATAGCCCTTTAAATCATTACGGCCTAAAAGAGGTAAAATGCGCTAAGAGCCAAATCCAGAGTTATCTCCCTCTCCATTCTTCTGACTGAGCCGAGAGCGGACATGATGGAGAGGATTGGAGGCGGGGCTTAAGGAAAATAAAAGTATGCATGCTCTATGGACCGCATGGATGTGGAAGATCGCTCAAAGATCCAGGGAAGATTTGATAATAATAATACATGTTATTTATATAGCGCTTTTCCTGGTTTGCAAAGACGCTTTACAAGCAAGTAGAGAAATAACAACACAAAGTCAAAAGTGTTGAGCCAGGTGGAATGGGGCGGGGGGAGAGGGTTAGGAGTCGACCGCAAGAGTGAAAAGGTGAGTTTTGAGGCTGTTTGGAATGACGTGAGAGGGTTGGCAGATCGGATGTGACTGGGAGAGGAGTTCCAGAGGGAGGGGGGGGCTGCAGCAAAGGGCCTGTCTAGGGAAGATCTAGGGATGGTTTAGGGAAGATCTAGGGAAGATCAAGGGAAGGTTTAGGGAAGATCTAAGGTCTAGGGAAGATCAAGGGAAGGTTTAGGGAAGGTTTAGGGAAGATCTAAGGTCTAGGGAAGATCAAGGGAAGGTCCAGGGAAGGTCAAGGGAAGGTTTAGGGAAGGTCCAGGGAAAGATCAAGGGAAGGTTTAGGGAAGGTCCAGGGAAGATCAAGGGAAGGTCCAGGGAAGATCAAGGGAAGGTTTAGGGAAGGTCCAGGGAAGATCAAGGGAAGGTTTAGGGAAGGTCCAGGGAAGATCAAGGGAAGGTTTAGGGAAGGTCCAGGGAAGATCAAGGGAAGGTCCAGGGAAGATCAAGGGAAGGTTTAGGGAAGGTCCAGGGAAGATCAAGGGAAGGTTTAGGGAAGGTTTAGGGAAGATCTAGGGAAGGTCTAGGGAAGATCAAGGGAAGGTCTAGGGAAGATCAAGGGAAGGTCTAGGGAAGATCCATAAAACGACTAGGGAAGACTTAGATAAGATCCAGATAAGATCTAGGTATTTTTGTACTTGAGAGTCAGTCCATTTTGGCTTTATGCGCCACTGAGCTACTTTGATAGAAATTAACGAGACCCTTCAACTCTGGATCCAGTTTTCTTTATACGTCCATGATGAGGACAGAATGACTGACATGGTGACTCTGAGAGATGTTTGTTGGTGTTCTCTGTGAACACAAATGAAAAGATGCACAACCTGCAGCTATGATGTTGAGCTCTGGAACCTGGAGGGTGGAAAGCCTTCTGTACCTGGAGGGTTGCTGGTTAGAATCCACTATATGGACTGAAGGACAAAGGGACGTCTACCAGAAGACCTGGGCTACACTGGGACAGTTCTGTGGAGAGAAACATGCAGGCTCATCAAACTGTCCCTGGGTCAGGTGACCAGGGGTCTGACATGCTTGGTATAAAGTCAGATCTTGCTGTTCTCCAGGTGGGAGTCGATGTGTTTGATGAGGGCGTCGTCAGGGTAACCGGTGGGGAAGGTCAGCTGACACAGGGGACAGCTCCGAGCAGCACTCTCCTCTGACTCCATCCATAACTGTGGGACAGAGGACAGAGGGGGAGAGAGGGGGAGAGAGGGGGACAGAGGAGAGAGGAGGACAGAGGAGGACAGAGGAGGAGAGGGGGAGGACAGAGGAGAGGAAGACAGAGGAGGACAGAGGAGAGAGGGAGACAGGGGGGGACAGAGTGGGGGAGGGGAGGGGGACAGAGAGGGGGCAGAGAGGGAGGGAGAGGGACAGAGGGGGACAGGGGAGGACAGAGAAGGACAGAGGAGGACATAGTGGGAGAGAGGGAGGACAGAGGGGAATAGGAGGAGGACAGAGGGACAGAGGGATGGATTACTAGAGAGGGTCAGAGGTCAAACTATGCGTGATCACGGAATCAGTGTTTTTTTTACTTCATTTACACACAAGCTTTGTAATCCATTGGATGATGTCAAATGTGTTCATGGTTACCTTGGTTGGTGATTGGCTAATGGTTACACAAGCCAAAAGCATTATGACATCACAAGTGGCCAAAATCTGATCAGCTCATTTTCAGACAGAGGCTTTTATATAAATGGATCAGGAGAAAAAGAGAGAGAATCTTTGTTCCTGAAACTTTCAGAGTCTCTTTCCACAGAGGGGACACATGTTGATGTAGAAGAGACATGTGTCCCCTCTGTGGAAAGAGAGAGTCTCTTTCCACAGAGGGGACACATGTTGATGTAGAAGAGACATGTGTCCCCTCTGTGGAAAGAGAGAGTCTCTTTCCACAGAGGGGACACATGTTGATGTAGAAGAGACATGAAGAAGTGGATTTTGCATAATAGGTGACCTTTAGGGTTAATATGTGGGTTCTGACGGTTTGCTTGTAGTGATGAACACACAGAGAAATCTCCCCAGCCTTTTAGCGTCATTGTATACAGATGACAGTCATTTATCTCCTCTTCATCCAAAGATCTATCAAGATTGCAATGCCTTTAACATCCTTCAGTTTTTTGTTTTAAAGAATCAAAATTCTTGCATTTATTGGCTGTCCATACCTCTAATGGCACTGAAATCATCCAATTTAATACATCCTGGTAAAAGTGTCTAGACAGCAGTTTGACTTTTACAAATCAGAGGACAAACTAAAGATCAAATACAATTCCTGTGTTCTCGTTTCTGTTGTTTCAGCTTTCTCTCGATTGATGGAGCACCACGGTGCGATACAATCAGATGAGATTAGATTCAACTTTATAGTCATCACACAAGTGCTAAACAACGACATGCAGTTAGCATCACATTAGCTAGAACATGACATGGTTGGTGTCAGAGTCGTGGTTCCTGATTGGTCTGCAGATCTGAAAATGATTTCCCAGGTTAATGCAGCAACCATTTTCTAAATCTAAATACCTTTCTCTTTAAGTTTATGTTTCTTTTTCAACTGCTATACATATTTCATGTGTCTGGTCCTCCGTTGGGAATTACTTGTTTTTTTAAACCTCTTTTTTGCCGTAATAGTTGGTTTCCCCTCGAGGACTGCAGGGAGCCTTTCAGCTGCTTTATGTAATCCTCATCATTGTTTCTACTCACGTTAATGGAGGGCCACGACTGAGCATGCTCAGTGTTCATGTAGGGAGGCAGATGGCAGGAGAGGGTGGAGGGGCCCTCAGGGGACGAGAAGGAGGGATGGCGGGGCTGTTTCCTAGGAGATGGGAATGAGGAGTGTAGGGGCTGTTCCCTCGGTGACAATGAGCCAATCCCAATGGCGCCGAGCGTCCGAGGCGGGCTGGCAGCCGGAGACAGATAGGTACAAACGTCCTGTGAATGTACGTGAAGCACACACACCCCGAATCAATCATCAAGATTTAAGACATGACAAGAGCCACAAACATTAAGATCGTCATTACCTCTTCATCATCAGAGGACTGTGGGGGGGTCACCAGTGGGGTGGGCTCGGGGGGGTTATCATGGCGACAGAAGTGATGTACCTGAAGAAGAGGGGGGGGGGAGGGCATCAGCGTTACTACTGCAGTTTATAGGATAATACAATATATTAAATGTTAAATGCAGTGTTCCAAAATCCACTTTTTCACATCTTTTATACATCAACACGTGTCCCCCCCTCTGTGGAAAGAGACTCTGAAAGTTTCAGGAACAAAGATTCTCTCACTTTTTGTCCTGATCCATTTATATAAAAACTGAAAATCAGATTTTGGCCACTTTGTGATGTCATAATGTTTTTCGGCTTGTGTAACCATTACCCCTAGATTCCACCGGGTCCGTCTGCGCCGCGGTTTTGGTCCGACCTCCTCCGGCGTCATACCCTACCAGGCGCGTTTCAGAAGCATTTCAGAAGCGGAGCGTCTTGCCTGCCGGCTCGCAGTTTTTGTTGATTTGGGCATATTTCCTGGACAGGCTACTTTGTACAGACAAAGTTAATAATAACTGTAATATTCCAGTTATAAACGACATGAATCAAAGATGTGTTGCTGTATTTTAGTGGTAAAAAAATGCATTCATCATCATAATTATTCTATATATATAATTTACACAGTGCCTGTAAACCGGAGGAGAACGCTGGCATTTCTCCTCCTACTTGAAAGACTACGGAGGGATAGGTCTGCAAAATTAGTTTGTGTGTTGTGTATATATATATATATATATGCTATATATGATCATCCTAATTTTAGAGGAGCCCTGCGCCGAGACGCTTCTGGGACGCTTCTGAGCCGTAACGCGCCGCGTGTGGTGGAATAGCACCCATTGACTAGAGTGGCCGCGAGTTGAGGGAATCTAAGGAACCCCTTTTCATTCAGATATCTTAAGGTGAGAGGTTCGCCAAAACTTAGCCTAACCTTGGAGAATCATTTAGTGTCAATGGATTTGTAGTAAGAGTACCAGTAAATTAAATCTAGCTTTGAAACTGAGCAACCTTTTAAAGAGAGTTTAATCGATCAAGGGTGATAACCTGAAAATACTCTTGCAGTCAATGACTCTCAACAGGCACCGTCATAAGGGGCCATCTTTCCACTGGGTCAGTTCATCAAATGGAGGTCACAGTAAAGCTCATAGAGCAGCACCGTGCTCAGATACTTAGCATATCAAAATGGCATGATCTTGGTTGAAACACTCAGTACCAATCCCAAACTGCCTGGGGAAACAGTGTCAGCACAGTTTCCATGAGCAGCAGCACACAGGCCTGTGATCACTGTATGCAATGTAAAGCATCAGCTTGGAGCTGTGCTACTGGAAGGCAGTCAACTCAGATGTGAGGTCACTACTTATCCGACCTCCGAAGTCCAATGTTAATGGAGTGCAGCATTGGACTGTTAGCACTGAGTAAGTCCCTGAAAGTCTCACCTCAGCAGCCAGAGGGAAGCCCAGGTCCAGAGGACAGTGATGAGGACTGCTGCTCAGACTGCCTCCTCCTCCCCTCTCTCCCCTCTCTCCTCCCCTCTCTCCTCCTCTCTCCCCTCCAGGTCCGTGAGCCGACGTCGGTCTGACCAGGCCCCCAAATGAGGTACGAAGCTGGGGTTTGTTTTGTCCATAGCTCTGCTTCTCCCCCAGGAGGGTCCTGGGCTTGGGGAGTGTTGATACCGGATCCCTCATCAGCCAAGCCAGGGGCCGGCGGAGGCCTGAGGGGTCAGATACCTTGGAGAGGGGCAAAGGTAAAAAAAATGGTATATATATTTATTTAATATTCTTTTTTAATATATTTTTTTGGGGCCCCAATGGCATTGACCGGTTCACGCAGTCTTCAAAGTGACCAAGCAACCTAAATTAATTTGTAATTTGTCTGTCCAATGACCTTGCTCCCTTTCATGTCATGTGATACCTTGCGTGACGAGCGAACCGTTTAATCAACCTGTACTGTACTGTAGCTAGCAGCAGCAAGTTCGGCAGTATTATAAAAAATGTAATAGCTTGCATTTATAATGTACAGCAAACCAAAGCACAAGAGCAGCGCTCAAAAGAGAAAGGACAAGAGAGAGCAAGGAGATGTAACAGCTAAACTTACAAAATTAGACCGTTTTTTTTTGTCATACATCGTCCTCGAAATCGAGCGCTAACGTTAGCAATGTTGACGTGCAGCGGCAGCCGGAGGCTAACGATAGCTCACCACCATCATTGCCATCTAGCTCCACAAGTGAAGCTGTATCCGTGGCCGTGGCTGTGCAACCTTCTTCTCCAGCCAGCCAGGAGGAGAGGCTGGATGTGGCTGTGCCCGGCGGTGGTCCAACAGTTCCCCCAAGGGCCCCAACCGATAGGGGACTCTATGGCGCTATTGAGACCCCCGACGCCAAGATCAAAAGCTATATTATAGCAACTGGTCTATGTAGGCCTACCGGCCCATTCCCCAGAGACAAACATCAAGGAAACAGGTTTAATCCTCTTCTTAGTTCACTGTGCCGTTGTCAGGCTGTGGTGGTCTGAGGCCAGGGCAGGCTGTTGTTGATAGCCTATACATGTGGCGCTTCTGAGTGGTTGTGTATGTCCGTGCGTGTGTGAGCGCATTAGCGTGCGCTTATGTTTGGGGGGGGGGCCCAAAACAATATTTGCACCGGGGCCAATCGCAACCTTGTTACGCCACTGACTCGCCACTGACAGCCGGTGGCGCACACACACACACACACCAAACATTTCATGCTCCCTTCCGTTCGTCAATAAATAAGGTTTAAATCGCCACTAAACGTCCCCTTTTCCCCCTCCCATTTCTGTAGCGCGACCATGAGTGCACGCTTGTGAGTGTACAATTATTTAAACATACATTAAACTAAAGTACGCGATACTCGCATGACGGGCAGCGAACTGCAGTTTCGCCGGCGTCTCCCCAGCAAAGGGGAATATGATAAAGACGGAGGCGCATCACTTCCGTGGTTTAAATATGATTTAAAGGGGACCTATCATGCAAAATGCACTTTTGTACGTCTTTTATACATGAATATGTGTCCCCGGTGTTCCAGGGAACTCACCAAGTGTCAGAAAACACAACCCTCTCTATTTTCCTCCATACCCAAATCTCTAAAAAAGGGGCTGCAACGGATCTGATAAAAAACTGATCCAGATTTGAACACTGTCCTGACGTCAGGACGGTGGCGCTACGGCTATTGGGCCAACTCCACCAATCAGGAGGAGACAGCCACGGCCATTGCCGTTCGAAAGCGCTGGAGACGCTGTAGTACATATGCAGGCCTGTAAGTGGTGCTGTAGTCTGCCACAAAAGCAGTGAAGAAGACTTGGTTACCATGGTTACCCTTCTGTTTATTCTCCGCTGTGGCTTTCTTTCTCCCTCCCCGAGGCAAGCGTTTGCTCCCGCTGCTTTAATTCAATGCAATCCCTCCCCGTCGAGGCAAGCACTGTAATTCTCTCCGGTTAGTCCACCAGCAGATGACAAACACCCACCTCTCCGCCTCTTCCAAGGAACGAGGGGACCGTGCGGCAGAGTTTCAGTTTCAGTTTGTTTCGCCGATCAAGATGTCCGTTAACCTGTTAAGCACCAAGCCTGTTTTTCATGTTTCAGGCTCGAAAATGACATGCCCAAAACAAATGACTACAACTTAACTTCTAAAAGGGTTATATGAATAATTTCTTTTATCAAAGCAAGGTTACATCTGTGAGTTGGATGTAGAAGTGTCAGAATCAATATAGATGTTTTTTATTTTAAAGAAAATTCAGATTTTACATAGTAAAAAACTGTAAATTATAGTGTCCGTCCAAAAATTATTTTTTACAGATAGTGAAAACTACCCTTGGATGATGGGTTAGTAGACTAAAAGCTTTAGGAATCCAAAGTACAACATATAATAAGTACCCTGTATCAAGATTGATGCAAAACAAGTGACATTTGACCTTTTTAGAGAGGTTTAGCCAAAACCACCCCACCTCTGAGGTGATTTGGGTGAAAATGTTTTTTTTTCCATATCTCTGGCCCCCCTTGGTCGATTTGGATGGTTGACACCTCTTTCTGACCGTTAGAGCCAATAGAATCGAAGGGGGAGGCTCACACACACACACACACACATTGTGAAGAGAAAAGGTGGGGGCTTTGCGCATGTAAATGCAGGGCAGAGTGTGAGCTATCTCTCCCTCTGGCATTTGGAAACGAAAAAGCAGTTTTATTGCTTATGGATTATCAGAAATAATTTCAAAGAGGGCACAGACACATTGGATGAACCTATGGATTAACTGCAGCATCGTTTTTTTATCGTTTTTAATGCCATTGAAGACCAGTTTTGACCAAGGTAAGCCATGTTAGCGTTTCTAGCTACCGAGCTCCACATGTTATGATGTACGCTTTCGTTTATAGCGTCGCAAATGTTTATCACTGAGTATTGAGATTTTTTACACAGATTCTGTGTCTCCAGGACACCAAAAACGAGTGGTTGGCTGTGCATCTAGGATAAGTAATAAGGGAGTTATTGTGAGTTTAAGTGCCGTTTTAGGTTACATTTTTTCGCTCTTGGCTAATTCAGAGGCTGAGTGCTAGCATTGTGGGGTTTTTTTGAAGAAAAAAAATTAAAAAGATCAGTTAGCTGAGTTTCTTCCCGTTACATGGATATAAAACATTCATAGTTTATTAAATATTAAGATCCCTTAGACGTTGTTTCCTGCAAATGATGCGTTTATCCGCCCGGTACCGTTATTATTATGCTCCAAATATCTGGAACAAACCCCCAAAAACCTGCAGGTCCGCTGCAACTCTTACTACTTTTAAATCCAGGCTGAAGACTTATCTTTTTGCAGCTGCTTTTAATTGAAACTGAGCGGTTGTGTTTCATCTTTGGTTAATGAACATTTGGGGCTAGTAACCCCAGGGAATCAGTGTCTGGGGACTTTGTCCTGGCTGGTTTTCTCTGTGTATGCTGCTCGGGACGTATGTGCCATACACAGCTCATGTTCGGAGAAACCTTAAAGGTGGGGTAGGTAAGTTTGAGAGACCGGCTCGAGATACACTTTTTGTTATATTCCATGGAATGCTCTTAACATCCCGATAGCAATGAATATCTTAAGTGCTTTGACAAAAAATCCATAACAAAATGTCATCTGTGGAAGCCGTAGTACTGTAAAAAGCACGACCAATCATCTGAGCCGGCCCGGCTAAAATAACTGGATGGCCTACCTGCCTGTCAGCCTTCCATCTGTGCACAGACTTATCTCGTGCCCTCATTGGTCATGTGCGCGTTCGTGTGTGTTGGAGGAGGGGCTCTGTAAGGAAGTGGCAGATTTCTTCCGGCTGTGTATTTTCAAATTCTAGCGCACTCGAGCTGGTTTCTCCAAAATGACCTACCCCACCTTTAAAATCAACTGACTACGCCTATGTTTACGAACGGACAAAGAGAACCCCGTCACAATTAACATGATCAAACTTCACATTTGTAGTTAATCACCTAAAGTTGAACTCTCCAGCCTCACCTCAGAATAACTGCGTCGGCCCTGGAACTTGGCCCGTAGACGGCTGCAGGTTGGCTGATGGGAGTAGGAGGCGGGGCCGTCGGTTGGGGAGTGAGGAGGGGAGGGGGTGGGGTGGAGCCGGTCAGGGGAGAGTGAGGGGCGCTGGGGGGAGGTGGGGGAGAGATGCTGAGGGGCTGGGGAAGGACGGTTGACTTGAAGAGAAAAACAAGACATAGAATTATTGGAAAATAAAGCATTTCTCTCTTACTGCACCCCTGCCATCCCACCCACTCAGGTCAGTGGCCTCTTGTCAGTGAATATTTCGAAGCAAAGGTATGAGGGATAAAAGAAACCGTATTGCACAGCATCTTTATCAGAAGCATGAGAACAATACAATTCTTTAACAAAATATGCATTACTGATCATCAGGTCATATCCTGGCATGTACGTTTCACACATGCTAACACTATTAAGGTGATGAAAATACATGATTGTCCCTGTAACTCGGGCTCAGGTCTGTATCATCGCAGCTAATATTAAATACCTAGCGGAGGCTAATTATTAGGATTATGTCTCTGTGATTGGCCATGTTGCCCTCGAATTGATAGATGCCCCATATTCCCCCTGAGCCACATGTGCTTTGCTTCGACTGTAATAAACAGTTTGAATACTAAACGTACATGATCACAAAAGAACGTTTGTGGTCGTGAAGAAGCCTAAAATTCACCATCAACATGCCTATTGAACCTTTTCACCTTTATCTTTAAACTGAGCTCCTATTACTTTATTGGAAAATAGTTGGCAACACTGGGCTGGGTCTCTCAGGTCAGACAGTTTAAAAAAGCCAACTTAGTTTTGCTGGCTTCTCCAATGGGACCTACCCCAACCTTTTGTGTGTTTCGTCAAACACCTTACTTTTGTCTGTTTCACTTCCTGTCTTTGGAGTTTCCCGCCTGTTGTGCTTAGTTTGCCCCGCCCTGATTATTTCCACTTGTGTGTAATCACCTGCTGCTCCTGTGTTTTGACCTGCCCTTTCCAGCTGTGTTTTGTCAAGTGGTTAGTTTCTGTGTGCTTATGCCTGCCTCCAGTCGATTTCTCTGAACTTTCTCAATATCTTCTCATTAGTATAGCCTCTTCTTCATGATATCTAATGATACCATGAAGTTAATTACACAAGAATCCACTGGGGTGCTTACCAGGCTCCTGTGAGACGTGCCGCAGAAGGTCGCTCTGTTTCACAGCCAGACTGCGAACACGACCCAACTCCTCCGTTAGCTCTGTGTAGGCTAATGCTAGGTTAACCCTGCAACAACAACACAGTCTGAATAACAACATATCACAATCTGACAGATATACACACTGCTTCCGAGTCACACTTACTGTTCGTCCCCGGCCTTCTTTATCCACTCTACGTCGCAGTGCTCACAGTGTGGGGGGGGCTCCTGGGCCTGTCTCTGTGCTTCCTGCAGCTTTGCGACCTCCTTCTGCAGCCTCTTGAGCTCGGCCCTCAGCTCCCCCTCCCGGTGGCAGGCCCCCTCCTCCCGGTGCCGGGCCCCCTCCAGCTCGGCCTCCAGGCGCTGCAGCTTCAGGTCGGACAGAGCGTCCAGGCTGCGGGAGCTCTGCAGCTGCCCCCCCCGGCCCTCTGACAGAACCACACACACATCAGTACAGGACACTGGTCTAATGATGAGGACGTGAAAATAAGTCTCTGCATTTAGCCCGTTCTCTTTGTAATTTGATTATTGAAACATTAGAACATCTTTTCTTTTCTTTCAATGTAGTTCAAATATTTTGGGATGCTTTCCAGTTTAAAATTAGAAGAACTTTCCGGTCATAACGTGTGATAATATAAAATGTGTCTTTGCATTTTGTAAAACCAAAAACTGAATTTGGAATGATTCCTTTTATTACTTTAACAAGATATTTCATACACAAATGTTATTTTATTGATATTTCCCTAGTGTTTATGCATTTCTTAATAACGTGAAATTATATAATTAATTAATTAAATTGTGAAAAAGTAAAAAAGCCCAACAATTTATTTTTCTAAACACCTTAATTCCTGAGTGACAACTTGTGTTTTTTTTAATGTTTTCTGTTAATAATGCCCTCAGTTTTGAATGAATGTACTAAATCCTGATGTTTTAAGAGCTTTTTCTGATGTAATGGGATAATTGTTAAATAAAGTTGAAAAAAAAAATTCAAATAAGAATACGAATTCAACCCGTTCTTGTATTCGGAGCAGTTGGCAGCTTTTATACATCTTCTCAAAGCACTAATCAACAGTCCAAACTCGGTCCGTTCTGGGACTTGAACTGGCGACCCTCCAGTTCTGAAGCCAAGTCCCAGAGCTACTGCCGCCCCCATATTAATGGAGGAATAAGCTTAAAAGGATTCAGATGGCAGTTTCCTTTTGATTACTGCCTCCACAACCAGAAGTACGAGGGTAAGTATTGTCGGCTTTATTGTAAGCTGCAATTGTTAGCTAACTAGCTTAATACCTGACATTGTAACCTGAACCAGGATTACTTCAAGGCCAAGTAACGTACCTTAGCCAAGCAGCTTAATAGTGTTACAGTAAAATCTTACATTCTTCTTTATATACTTACCACTAGGGCTAACTTACTCTATATGGAAACAAATTGAGGATTGTGAGCTCCTAGCGTTGACATCTGTCTTTTAAGTAAACCCAAACTATTTACTATTACTTATTTTTGACACTATTATAGTTGGTGTAAGAAAAAATATGTTAACTTTTATTTGTATAGTGCTGTGTTTACCAAAGCAACCGAAATCACGGCCGGTGGTTGTTAAGCATGAGGAGGGTGCATCGATCCACACTCTTTGACCGTTAGGAGTGCACCATCTGGGTTATCATAGAGCATTTCACCATGCTTCACATTGGGATGCACTTATGCACTCAAAATAGCACATGTAAGCACACAGTGTGCCACCGGGGCACAGTGCATCTCTGTCTGCTGCTCCACACAGAACCCACCTCGGGGAACGTCCAGGCTGGCGTGCAGCTGCAGATGAGACTTGTGTGCGTCTTTGCTGCGGAGTTGAACGCTGAGCTTCTGCAGAGATGTTTCTCTCTGTCTGAGAGCCGACTCCAGACCGCATATCTGCTCCACATGCTGCTCTGCCAGAGAGGTCTGACAAACACACACATTACGGTGAAACTCAAGCACAAACTGCTGCTCGACACTTAACACAAACGTTGTATTACCACCAAACAGTGTGTGTCTGTGTGTGTGTGCTTACCATCTTGTCCAGGTCCCTCTGGACGTTGCTCTTCTCCAGGTGAATCTTCTCATAAGCCTGGATGACTTCCTCCAACCTCTCCTCTCTTTCCTTACTCTTCTGGAGCTGACACAGAAACAGGAAGGAGAAACATTTCAGACTTTGCTATAAGAGATAATTAGAGTAAAAAACCAATGTGGTCGTATTTAGTTAGTTTTGTCCATCATTCATCTTGTTAACAAACACAGTCCTTACTTATTTAAGGGCTGGAATCAGCTAAATTAGCGACATGGCTATAGGCACTATATATACTTCAATAGTCTCATATAAAAATAATAACCAGGATTGACCACAAAGAGTGTCCTTCAGTACACATTGTCAGCTCAGCTGTGATTCACACTGTAACAAATAGCTGCACAAATACAGAGAATTTCATACAGTAATCTACCATCTTATTTAGCTCACATTCAACACAAAGGAATTTCTCCAAAGGCATAGAATATAGAAGATTGCTGATTTTTGTCACGGTATAAGAAAGAGGAAGAAGAAGAAGAGTAAGATTGTAAGAGGATGATCATCAGCTTGGACTCAACCTTGGCAGCACATTGAAGTCGTCATTTTACCACATGCTGCATTTCTTCCTCAACAATCAGGATCCGTCCTGCTCTTATCAAGGTAATAACACTTTTGTCAAAGTCAATCTAGCACAGTTTTGATCTGAAATGACATTGATTTGACAGATTTTTGCCAAAATGATTGTCTACTGCTTGGAAATGTTTTAAGTTAACGTTAGCTTGCTCTAGCTAGTTACTTGTTTTAACATTTTCTTCTCAGAGCCACAGCATTGAGTTCTTAAGTAATCAAACTTTAATTTAGCCTTGTCTGTCCTCAATTATTTTATTATTTGTTGCAAAACGTATATGAGAGACTGGACTCTATTTTGCTATTTGTTGTGTGGCCACTTCAACTACAATTTGTTTTAGAATGTGTTATGTTGACTTTCCCCCACCTAGGCAGGAAAGCCTGCTAATGCAATATGGAGCCAAAAAGTATTCAGCTCTGTATTAAGTGAAAATAATTTTTACTCACTACATCAATATCTCATCTGCTTTTTCTGCTCTTGTTGACATCAACCCCGAAATGGGAACAGAGGCATTTAATAAAAGTCTAATGTTGTAAGGGCATCTCTTGTCCAATCCCTTTTTATGCTAGCAAGAGGCGCTTTCACACCGGAGTACTTTTCCTAGGAATAGTTCCGATAGTTCCTGGGATTTTGCGTTCACACCAAAAAGATCTGAAACTAGAACTTTTTTTTGCGAACCTTTTCCCCCCTTTTTAGTCCCTGCTAGAGAGCAGGGACTTTCCTGGGGAGAAAAAGGTTCCAATTTCTGATTGCAAACCACGCCCCGTAAAACTCTGAAAAGTTTTGTGAAGCCGCCATTTTATTTGCTCGCATTAGCATTATTAGCATTAGCCCAGCGCACCAACGGAGAGAGAATAACTTATGGCAACACAAAAGAAAACATGGGAGCGGTGGAGTGATGAGGAGGTGTCGGCGCTTCTGTGGATTTACTCGGAAGGCTTCAGTAGAAGCTGCTGGGAAGACTCTCAGCAGCTTCTACTGAAGACAGTCCCCAACTCCGGGGACTTCCGGCCGGGGACTTCGGGTGGCAGTATACGCCGTGAAGTTGTTTGCGGCCTGCCAGTAAACCCAAAGCAGAAGAAGAAGAAGAAGAAGAAGAAGAAGAAGAAGTGACGTCAGCGGCTCCCTCAGGGACTTATTCAGGTGTGAACTAGATAGTTCCGGAACTAAAGATTTCCGGGGAACTAAGTTCCGGGAACTATTCCTGGGAAAAGTACTTGGTGTGAAAGCGCCTAATGTGTTAACACAATGTTTACTTTTACAAATGTGATATATTTTATTGTATCATTTGCTTAAAAATACATTTTAAATTTGAATAATTTAAAGTGCACCTATTATGCTATATTGGAAAAATATATTGTAGGGCCATACCTATACAAAACATGTCTTTGAAGTTTTTTGCTTAAAATACCAAACAGATCACCCATTGCAGCCATGCCTCATACTGCTCATAAACCTCTTTTGCAGCCCTGTTAGAGAAACGCGGATTTTGGGTCCTTAGCTTTAAAAGAAAAAAAAAAGAGGAGGCGGAGCTAATGCCTGATCAGAATTCTACCGGAGAAAAAGTAAAATTCCGCTGTGATAAAACGCCATCCTGTTCTAAACCACATCAAGGATTATTTCTGAAATAGTATGGAGCTCAAATGCTTTTTCTCTTGCGGGTTTATCACAAGGTGAGTTCCTTTTTTTATTTCCTGCTTTTTAAACACATGTGCTCTCCAGTACAGGTTAGCTCTGAGTGTTAGCGAGGCTTGCTAATGTAAACAAAGACGAGATTACGTCCAAAACACGTCAGGCATTGTTTCTGATAGCAACTCTCTGTGGGTCCACCATCCGAAATTACGTAATATCGGCAGCAAATCTGTATCCGCTCGTTGTCCGGCAGTGGCTCAGTCAGTAGGGGCTTGGACTGGGAGCCGTAGGGTCGCTGGTTCAAGTCCCCGACCAGACCTAAATATGGAGTGTGGACTTCTACTTGGAGAGGTCCCAGTTCACCTCCTGCCCTGCCGTGGTGCCCTTGAGCAAGGCACCGGACACCCCCCTTCCCCCCCACTCCCATTGCTCCCCGGGCGCTGTACAATAGCTGCCCACTGCTCCTAGTACTAGACTCCTTGTACTAGGATGGGTTAAAAGCAGAGGCCACATTTCACTGTGTGTGCTGTGTGCTCTGCATGTGTGACCATTAAAGAGGGTTTCATCCCTCCCAATTCTATAATTCTATTGTACCCCCATTTTTAAAAGATTTGGGTATGGAGGAAAAGAGAAAGGGTTTTATTTTCTGACGCAGCGTGAGTTCCCCAACACACCGGGGCGGGGACACATATTTATGTATAAAAGACATCAAAAAGTGCATTTTGTAGCCTTTATTTAACCAGGTGAAAGCCCCTTGAGATCAAAATATCTCTTTTTCAAGGGTGACCTGCATTGGTTACACATGTAACATGTAAAAATAACAGAACAACAATAAGGACGACATACAACATAAATTACAGGGTACAGTTTACAAACTCTATTTACAGTGACAGGTACCATGAGTATCAAACAGCATGTCACCCAGCCGAGTTTTAAAATGATGCAGGGGAACCAAAGTGCTCAGTTTTAAACATTTTTGCAGACTGTTCCAAGTTAGTGGAGCTGCACAACTAAAAGCTTTCTTCCCTAAGACAGTCCTAGCACTTGGCACATTTAATAAAACCACATCATGAGATCTCAGGCAATAAGTACTTTCAATTCGTCGAGAGATCAGAGAGCAGATATAAGTTGGTAGTTTACCCAACATGGCTTTGTAAATGAACATGTACCAATGACTGAGCCTCCGTACAGTAAGTGAAGGCAGACCTGCCTTGGCATACAGGGTACAGCGATGTGTAAGTGCTTTACAGTTAGTAACACATCTCAGAGCACTGTGATAGGCGACATCTAACTTGATCAGGTAATGGGCAGGTGCATTCATATAGATCAGATCACCATAGTCCAGCACAGGTAAAAAGGTCACAGTGACTAGCCTTTTCCTGGCCTCAAGCGAGAAACAGGACTTGTTTCTAAAATAGAAACCTAGTCTAACCCTCAGCTTTTTAAGCAGATTAATGACCTGAAGTTTAAAAGTAAGACAATCATCAAGCCAGATACCTCGGTATTTATAACAGACAACCACTTCGAGTACTTGTCCTTGCACAGTAACAATATCCTAAGCAGTCTCTGGAGTCTTTTTAGCTTTTGAAAAAAGCATTACCTTAGTTTTCTCAACATTTAAAAGAAGCTTAAGCTCAGAGAGCTGCATCTGGATAATATTAAAAACAGCCTGTAATTTAACAACAGCCTCCTTAATGGAGGGACCTGCACAATACATCACGGTATCATCCGCATAAAAATGTAAAGTAGCTTCATCCACATTTTCACCTAAACTATTGATATATATGGAGAATAAAAGTGGACCTAAAACAGAACCTTGGGGAACACCATTAGCAATGTTCAACCACTCAGAAGTGAGCCCATCAAAGTGAACACATTGGGACCTTTCAGAGAGGTAGTTCACAAACCACCCCACTGCATGGCTGGATATGCCAATACTGAGTAGCCTCTGCTTTAAGATGCGATGATCGACGGTGTCAAACGCTTTGGAAAGGTCAATAAATACACAATTCTGCTTATTATCTAAAATACTCGTAATGTCATTCACCACTTTCATTGTCGCAGTGATGGTGCTATGTTGCTTTCTGAAGCCTGACTGATGTTTAGACAGGATATCATTTTTACATAAAAACTCCTTTACTTGTTCACTCACTAGGCGTTCGAGCACCTTCGCCAGAACTGACAATTTAGAGATTGGCCTATAGTTATTTAAAATAGTTGCCTCCCCTCCTTTTAGTAAAGGCAAGACATAAGCTGACTTCCATACTTTTGGATTTGCATTTGTGCTGAGGGAGAGGTTAAAAAGAGTAGTGAGAGGTGGAGCAATAAAATCTGCAGCTATCTTTAAAAAGAAAGGTTCAACGTTGTCCGGGCCAAACGGTTTCTTAGGATCTAACTTAGATAATGCTTCATGAACAACATTTACAGTAAAAGGAGTAAAACTGAAGGGGTTTTCCAAATCACATTGTTCAGAGTCACGGATTGAGGTGTTCACAGAAACAGAGTTAGTGACAGAATCAAACAGAGAGCCACAGGACACAAAATGCTTATTAAAGCAATTTAACATGGTGGCCCTGTCCGATATAGAGCCAGATGCTGTGGTAATGCACGGAGGTAGCTCATTTCGGATCTCACCGGTGGATATCGATTTTATGGCTTTCCAACATTTCCTAGGATTATTTAGGTTTTCTGTGGTAACTGACAAATAGTACTTCGACTTAGCACTTTTGACATGTGAAGTGAAGCTATTTCTTAGCTGCCTAAAACGCAGCCATTCTACCTCTGAGCCTGATTTCCTAGCCTTTGCCCAGGCCTTGTTTCTCTCATGTAGGAGACTAGATAATTCAGCAGA